CTTCCAGATCAACTCTGCTATGCTTCACAAACATTCCACTCAAAATTCATTGGTGGCCGGCAGGCCAAAAGTGGTGGCTGGCCGGCCACCAATAGGGGGTTGCCGTCCAACATTGGTGGCCTACCGGCCAGTAATAGTGGCCGGCCGACCACTAATGACACACCATTTCTCTTGCTGCAACAGAGAGCAAACAGGGCAAAGACAGGGAATTCTTATAGGTTGTTTGTATTGTGTATCCCTCCTTATCATCGAAACATCTCAAAGGAGTGATACACTTGGTCCTCAAACCATCAATCAAGCAATTTCATTGCATGATGGCTAAGGAACCAATGTGTACAAGTTAATAAATGCACAAACAAGACCCAAAAGACCACCACCCTATCATGCATGATCAAGGGCAATGGAGGCCTTGAAAATTTGGCACATTTTATTACTTTGAGTATGAAATGTCCCAATTTTCCTTGTGTTCAATTAACGTCTATTGAACACATCAAAACACAACCAATTTCTTATCTTGCACACTTTTAGTTTCAAATTTTTAGTTACGCATTTTAACTTGCCAACCCATTATTTAACCAATTAAGTCCATTGGTGAGAAGTCTTCTAAAGGGAAGGAAGTGTCAAACAAGGGGTGGTTCAAAGCAAGAGAGAGATGTCATGCCATTGGTAATGAATCCCTAAAAGAGGATTAAACCATTAAGCAATGAACCTCAATCTCAAGCTTAAACTATCCTAAGGTTGAAATAACCCTCAAAGCAAATAAAGACTGAAGAAATGAGGGAGATTACAGAGATTAATGAGTGCTAAAAATAGGTGAGAAAAACACTAAAACATGCAATCAACTCAAACAAGTGGTACCTAAAGGCCTAAAACACCAAGCTTGTGAGGACTATTACACTAGAGGCATACAAAACAAGACTTAAATGCAATAACCAACCAAAAAAAGAGTGGAAACAGTCTAAAATAGAGCCTAAAACATGCTGAAATTAAGCTATAAAAGGCTAGAAAATTAAGCTAACACATAGAGCTAACTAGGTTAGCAAACAAGACACAAGGAGGGGAGGCTAACCCCTCCAAATTTGGAATTCAAAACATGATTTTAGCCACTGAAAAAGTTCTAAAAATTAGTATTTAAAAGCTCAAAAACAAATAGTAAAAGGGTGGAAAACACATGGGTAAATGCCTCCAAAATAAGATACAAAGAAGGATGAACCACTCCTCAACCTTTAATGGCCTTAAAACCTAAGTTTCAGCCCAAAAATGTAGAGTTTTTACAGTCCAAAAATTGTACAAAAAATGTGCTGGAATGAACACAAAAGTAGCTAAAACAATGAGCAATTTAAGTTAGTAAACAAGCCAATGAAGAGGTGGCTAATCCCTCCATTTTTGGGACTTTAAAATCACTTTTTTAGCCTCTGGAAACCTCTGAAAATCAATGGTAAAACACTCAAAAAAACTTGATGAAAGAATGGGAAACACAAGTGGAAAGGTTTAGAAAAAAAGGTTCAAAGAAGGGTGGTTAACCCCTCTACCTTTAATAACCTTAAACCACAAGCTTCAGCCATAATTCAAAATCAGCAAGAAAATATAGAAAAGAAGTAGTGCAAAGATGGTACAAAGGCAAGAGAAGGTATACCTCTTAAAGAGGAATGAACCCTTGAGTCAAAAAAAAATACCAATTTCACACTCTCAAGTGCTTCAAGAGCTCAATTGCAAGCTCAAATAACTTCATCAAGAAGTTCTCTAGGTTTGGTTTAGAGTGTTTGGGCAAAGGCTATGCAAGTTGAAAGAAAGAGAGAATTATAGAGAGAAAATTGTAGAGAGAGAGGATTTTTTTGCTCCCAAAGTTTTCTCTAACTTTGAAACCAAGAGAGAAGGTTCTCTATATATAGAAAATAAGAGCCTCATGTCGAAATATCTATATAGAGACAGGTGGAGCTTTGTGGAAACAACTAAAGGAAAATATCTGCAAAAAAATCTGTTTTTTGACACTTGTGGCCGGCAGGGCACTAATGATGGACAACAAAACACATTAGTGGACGGCACCCTCCCAAAAGTGGGTAAATCTACTCAAAAAAAGGCCAAAAATTTCACTACTGGCCGACAGGCCACTATTTGTGGCCGGCCACAAAAACCTATTTCCCAGGCCTGACTTCAAACAGGCATATCTCCTTCATCTGGTCATTCTTGAGTCTAAATTGAAGCCCTGTAAGTCTACTTTCCAATGGTGGCAACCTCACATCTAAATTCTAAGTTTTCGAAGAGATATTCCTATTTTAGTGAAGGCTTCTCAGTTTTGTCCTAACGGATTGATACCTAACTTTTCCCCCAACTAGTTTTCTTGCCTCCCCTCCAATTTTCTTCAACTCCAAACCTTTAAATAAGATGTTTTAAAGATTTTTTTCAAAGATTTCACCTCCCTTTCATTTATTTCCACGTTTTCCTTACTCGTTTTACCGAAAAGTACAATTTTTAATGAAATGCAAGCCTTAGAATATCGTAGAAATATTTGGGAAAAATATTTTGAAAGAGAGGGTTGTAAGGTCTAAAATAGTTTTGGTCAAAATAGTTTTTGATCCAAAATGGGGTGTAAAGTTGGGATTTAGAAGCTCTTCTTGCTGAAGAAATCGAACATTTGCATAGCACAACTTTCATCATTGAGTGATCAATCATTGGCGCCCAACTCTTAAGGCTGGTAAAAAATGGGGCGTCTACAAAGTGGCCAATTGCACATTTGAACATTTTTCCAAAAAAAATAAAATAAAATTAGGGCCTATTGTACTTTTAAACATCTTTATAGGACAATTGCGAACATATGTACTTTGTAATTTTGTTTCTCATTTAACAATAAAAATATTCCAAATATACTTTTTAGTTAAACTTCACAATGAAATGAAATACAAATTGCAATTCAACTGCATCATGATATGGAAATAGTGTTCCATTCCTTCCAAAATTGCACATGCATCCCAATATTGTCACTCTCTACAAATTGGATGTGTTTTCCAATTCAAAACCTCACACAAAGATACATTATGGGTTAGTTTGGGATGTTCTAAAAAAGTGCACTTTTTGACTTATTGGCTTATATGGGTTGGATTTGGGTTGGGTTTAATGTAATGTGTTAGAGAGGTGATGTGATTTAAATAAGATGATGTGACTTAAATAGGATAGTGACTTTTTGACTTTTTGTATCATTTAGTTTATGCCAAACCAATCTTAATTATAGACGGTTTAACTTAAAAACAAAAACTTTTACATTTGTCTGTGAAAGGAGAATGGGTTCAACAAGTAGCAAAGATGCACACTCTTTGTTCTTGCCTCCCACACATCATGGCCATGGCAGTCTCTGTGTAGGTACATGAATTTCGCGGCCCTAGGAAGGTTAGTCACGATCTCCACAAAAATTGGGTTGAAGGGAGAACCCACAAGTTATGCTTCATTCAACTTCTTCGAAACCTCACTAATCAAATGTTTGACATGGTCAGGAGCATCTTTAGCAGAAGCAACAGTTTCATACATGTAAATTTGGACCAATTTGGAATTATAACCTCTTTTTACCTTATCTTGATCAAGAAATTATTAAAAAAGAAAGAAGAAAATATGGATCATTAGATCTTATAGTTAAACAAAAAAAATTAAATGCAACTAGTAGGCTATAAATAATTCTATAGGCTGAAACCAACCACATAATCAATAAGAAAAAATATTAGTGTAACAACATGAGCGGAACAATTTCTTCCGTTGTTGCCCAATAATGTCTAATGTGTTCGTTTTGTGTCAGCATAGTGTTCGCTCAAGCAAATGCAAGTAATTGTTGTATTTTATTTATTTATTTATTTATTTATTTATACATGTGTATGTTTAGAAGAATTTTTTTTTTCAGATTAATGGTAGATTTTACAATTTTTAATTATTAAGGGTATAAATTTTTCTATGAGTATGCAACTATTTCAAAAAGGTACAATTGATTTCTAATTTTCTCTAAAATCACTTATTCAATTTTCAAAAATGTTATCATCATCATCTTCTTCTTCTTTTTATTTGTTATTTTCTCATTTTTTTTAACTACAAACACTTGTTTAGTTTGTCAACGATCACTCCTAGCCTATCTTTTGCCACTCAAAACCCCGCCTCTTCAAATCAATTATAACTATTTCTATTTCAATAATTGCTCACATTCAATTTTCTTTTTAACTTGACACTTAATATATTTATTGAGGCAAAAGAATAATAGATACATTTGTCTGATTAATTTGATTTATTTTAATCTTTACTATCACGTTCAAAATCCCTTTTTTATCATTCAAAAGAAGAAATAAACTAACTTATTGTTTGGCATGTCCAATGGAACCACATATGAGTGTCAAATATGGTGAGAATGAAAAAAACTTTAGAACATGATTTAGACCGAAACGAGAGGTTAGGGCTTTTAATTAGGCCCAAAACCAAGAAATCCAAAGTGTGAATGGCCAAGATCCAAGACTTAAGCAGAATCATAAGGATTGAAACAATTGTTGGTGTCTAATTTAAATTGGAGCATTTATTAATAAATCATATTTTCATGATTTATGGACATTAAAATATTTTAAATGAAATATACTCACATTTAGAAACGTAATAAAATAATAGTACACACATTAAAAAGATGTGTCTCATTGTCATATTTTAAGAGTAACACATTTAACAAAATTTTAATAAGACAATAGTATCCAAATACCTCATTATCATATTTTAAGAAAAATAACACATTTGGCAAAAGTTTATTTAGACAATAGTGCACACATTAGAATGATGCCACGTTGTCACATTTTAAGAATGACAAATCTGGCAAAAATTTAATAAAACAATAGTGTACAAATAAAGCATACCCACATTTGTTGTCTTCAAAAAATATAGTGAAAGTATTTCACGGTATATATTTTCAAATAAATGGGACTTATTAATCTATAAGAAAATTCATAAGAATTTTCGATATATAATTTTTTTTCGAATGGGACATTCAGATAAATTTGTCAATTTAAATTCACTAGTAAAGGCTAGACACATAGCAATACAAGTATCCCTAGAATAGATGTAATTGCAATTGGACCCAAATACGAGAAAGACAACTCAATACGAGAGACATACTAAAAGAGAAGAGTAGGTGGAGGTAGTCATTGAACTGCACCAATTCAAACATTGTCATTCTAGGAGCTGAAAGTTTTTACAATTTATAACCTCACACAAAGATACATTATTGTTCAACTTTAAAATTGAAACACCGTTAGATTTGTCTATGGGAAGGGAATGGGCTCGACAAGTAGCAAAGACGCACGCTCTTTGTTCTTGCCTCCAACGTCATGGCCATGGCCATCTCCATGCTGGTAGATGAATTGAGAAACCCTAGCAAGATTAGTTGCAATCTCCACAAAAATCCGGTTGAAGGGAGAATCCACAAGTCGAGCTTCATTCAATTTTTTCCAGGCCTCACTAATCAAATGTTTAACATGGTCACGAGCATCTTCTGCAGAGGCACCAGTTTCATGCATGTAAATTTGGATCGATTTTGGATTGTCACCTCGTTCTACCTCATCCTGAGCAAATGATTTTTAAAAAGAAGAAAATGTAGATCATTGCACGAACCTAATTTTCTAAAATCATTCTAGAGACATGGAATTGATCATATAATCAATCACAAAAAATACAAAAAATATAAATAATGTGAGTGTAACATTTAATCAAGGTTGTCTAGTACTATGTCGTGTTGATTTTCTGGCACCATTATGTTTTCATTTTTTTCATTGCGCTTTTAATGTTTTCTAAAACAAAAATAAGAAACAGTTTGAAAATACCCATCATTTTCATTTATATGTTTACATTTAAATTTGAAAATAACTTTTTAATGCTTCCAAAAAATAGAAAACAAATATAAAATTATATGCTGGCCTCAATCTCTCTAAAAACCTCTCTCTCTCTCTAAAAACCTCCACCCCCAGGCGTCACTTTTGGCCGGCCGACCACCGTCTTTGGCTATGACGGTCGGCTGGCCGAGCTCTCTCTTGTGTTTGTGTGCTGGCTTTTGCTTTTAATAAACTTGATTCCCACAATGTCTTCCCACTTAGTTGTGTTTTGTGTGCTGCTGATCTTAAACTTTTTGGTGTTTGTTGCCCCCTTTTTTTGGTTGATGCATTGGGGTTGTATGTTTTGTTTTAACTGGGGCTACTTGGAATAAGGGTTAAAACAGAGTAGAAGGAGGTCGATTTTAGACTGGAATAGAGGATGTTCAGATCTGGTTTGGATCTTCATTCGGGCGTTCCTTTGCGAGTGGAAGTTTGAGGGATGAGCTTTGGTTCGGATCTATGGAGTTGCTTCGGTGCTTTGTTTGGAGGGAAACATGGGTGTTGAAGTCGATCTAGATCTATCTAAGATTTCATTCGAGCACTCCTATTCGAGTGGGTGTTTGAGGGGTGAACTTCATCCAGATGTATAGAGGTGTCTCGGCGGTTGTTCGATGTTTTGGGTTGTCAACATCAGAGCTTCTACAGTGGGTGTGTTCGGAGTTTGGATCGGAAAAGATGTGTCCGATTGTGGAAGTGGAGATGGCAGTGGGTCTTGTTCCGCTATAGTTGTGAGTTTTGATTGTCCTTGGGTGTGCTCGATTGCAATGAGTGCTTGGAGTTTTGAATCAGAAAAGAAGTGTTCCGACCATGGAAGTGGAGCAGGGTGTGGAGTTTTTTTCTAGCCATGGAGCTATTGGCTATGGAGTTTTCCGGCCATGGAACGGTCTCGGTCGGATTAGCGGAGTGTGCGGAATACTTTTGATGCTATGGTTGAGTGTTGTCAGGTGTGGGTCTCGGCTTTGGTGGCGTGGGTCATGGCTTTGGTGGGCTATTGAGAAGATTTTAGTTTGGGTGGTGTGGGCATTGGGAGTGCAGCAGCATGGGTGAATAAAATATTCGGGTTGAATAGTAGTGTGTGGTTTGTTGATAAGAGGAGTGCAGCTGCTTGGGTGTTGAAAAAGAAAATTTTAGTTTGTTGAAAAGAGGAATGCAGGAGCAGTTTGAGTATTTTGGTGTTGGTTTTTAATTTTTGGGTGTGTGGGTTGATTTTGTGAGAATTCATGTATTTTATTTTCTGGTTAAGTCCTTCTTAACTTTTTTGTTTAAAAAAAAAATCGTGAGGCCAAGGGGTTGGTTGTATGGCTGCGAGTAACAATAGTAGGGGTAATTTGTACTTTTCAAATCTCTCTCGATGTATGTCATCTTCCTGTACTTTTAATTTCATGATATTAATGAAATTTTTCTTTGTTGATAAAAAAAAAAAAAACAAAACAAAAAAACACAAGCAAGGGGAAGAAGACAAGCTACCCACCCATGATGTGCCCAAATCATCAGAAAGTCGAACAATCAATGAAGGCCACTTGATTAAATCATGGTAGTTCTCTAAGGAGTCCAACTCTTCTTGGGTAATGGGATTTGATAAGGAATTTGTGCTTAGAAGATAAGCATGTGTTAGCATCACAGGAGCAGCAACAGATGTCCATGCATGGTTCACATACTCCTCCATTGTTGGTATTTCCCCACTGTGGGCCCAATTTATCTCCTTTTGATAACAGTGAATTAAGTCTTGCCACTGCAACATTTACCAATATAATATTAATAGCACAGCAATGCTGCATACCCCGTGGGGGTCGCACCACAGCGAGATGTCGCGCCTTCACTGGTTGAAACTTAAAAAAGAAAAAGAAAAAAAGAAAACAGTTTTTTTTTTGCTCAATAATGGAGTGCCACCTCACTCGGGGTCGACCCCGTGGGTGTATGAGGCATTTTTCATTAATAGCATGATGATGATGATGAAATACGATCAATCTTCTGCAATTCAAATAAGCTCACAAGGTATGGGCAATGTTTTTGAAAACATATTCTCTATACATAATTTTTTATTGAAATGATATGAAAGTGATTTAGTATAAGTTTTATATTTGTATATGATTACTCTATGATTAAATAAGATAAAAATGATAGGTATATATCCACACATAAAATTTAATGCAACTGAAATTCATTTTAAATGTGTGAGAAATATATTTTAAATTAATCTAAGTCATGTATTAATTTTTATAAGAAAGTTACAAACTCAGAATTTATGCCATGAATTTTATCCAGAATCAGAAAGAGTGGCTGTGATTCAACTGATGTATTGTGAAATTTATGCATAAGATGAATTTGGATCGCATACTGAAAATTTTGAAATTTTTTTTAGAATTTATAGTATTATTTAGCTTGTTTGGTTCTAATTTTCAGAAAATTTTAGTTTTTTATTTTCCGTATTTTAATGTTTTCACTGATTTTTTTTATTATTTTAAGCAATTTTATTTTTAATTTTTAGACACACCTAACATAAATACATTTAAAAAGTAAAATATTTGTGAAAAAAATCTTTAAAAAATACACTAAATACCAAAAAAACAAAACAAAAAAAAATTTAATACATTTTTCGTATTTTGTGTATTTATTAATTTTTTAAAATATTTTTTCATAAATATTTTATTATTTGGATATATCTAAGTAAGATGCATCTAAAAAAATAAAAAAATTACTTAAAATTTAAAAAATATTCACTAAAAACAGAAAACACAAAAAAACAAAAGATTCAATTTTTAGAAAACTAAATTCAAAAGGCTGAAACCAAACAAATTGATTTTAATTTTTACAGTTTCTATTTTGTTTTTTTCAAGTGTAAGGAAAGTGTGCAACACCTTTCTTTTAAGGTATGGGAGGATGTGAATTCCATGCTCCTTAAGAGTGTCATAAGCCATTTCATTAATCCAATTGTAGTAACCAAGGAAACATATCTTCATATAATCCGGTAAATGTTCTACTGCATTCACATCCCATCTGAGAAACAAAAAAATTGTGTCAAATTTTATGTTAAAAATGATAGTTGTGCTTAACTGGAAATGAAATGTTCTTAATTTCTGCATGTAAATTATTAACACTTAGCTTGTCAGAAACTGCACCAACCTGTCAACGGCATCTGTGAAGAGCTCGAGTTCATCCAAGGTACCGTAAGCATCATAAACATCATCCAAACATGTTGTTAGTATATTGATCCTTGTTTCCATTCTCCTATAATATTGGAATTGAGGCTGGTAAGCCTCTCCCAGAGACCATAAGTAATTCTCCATCACCCTATCCCTCATAAATGGCAACCTTTCCCTCCAACGTGTACTTTCCCACCACCTATATTCAATGAAACCGATGAAGAATGATAAATATAAGAGAAATTCTAGAGACAAAAAGCAAAAATAAAAAAAATAATACAACTACATACATAAATTAACTATGATTTTGTTGAGTATGGTTTAATTAGGATTCCTTAGGAAGAAATTTCACTGGATGAATTTTATTGATTTGTTTCACCTCCAATGTGGACTACAATTTTCAAACTATGGTGCATTTGGCATGTCCATATGATGTTATGTGAATGCGCATAGCAGGTGAAATAAAAGTTAGAACCGTATAACAACCCTTTTACTTGAAATGTGAACCATATAAGTTATCTTACCTTGACACGTGTTTTAGATCTTCTTGATGAATTGCTTGTACCATGTTGAAATCCAATTTGGCAAACTCAAGCAATGTAGGGTTCATGTCCGATCTCCTCTCATAAGCATCAATGAACCACCTAGCTTCCATTCTTGGCATGGTCCAATGTAGTGGAAGCTCCAAAGCATGACTCACTAGCATGGCTAGATTTGGATCTGTCCTCTTCTTGAGGTATTCTTTGAGATGTTTAGTTGCAAAATCTCTGGCCTCTTCCAATATGCTTTCACCCTCCATTAAAAGGTATGATGATTCATACAAGGATAGTAGCCCCTTAATGTCCTCACTCAAGGACTCCTTGAATTGTCCAAACTTGTCCTTGAAATTATTGAAGACTTCTACAAGCAACAAAGCATACTTTTAATTGCTAATTACAAGGGATGAGCTTCTGTTTACATTTGCATCTATTTATACTCATTCATATTCTTCTTATAGGCCCAAATTCATACTCACATCAATAATCTGAACCGTCTAATTTGTAAATTTCGTAATAAAGGTCATCTATGTAAAATATCAATTTCTTCGAACATCTATATATATATAAGAACAAATCACATTTTATTTTATAAAATGAATAGTAAATATGATTGTAAACTTAAACCATTTATTTTATAAAATAAAATATTATTTATTTCTCTATTTATATTTTTCGGATAAATTTAATTTTTTTTTAGACAGTTTGAATGAACCGAATGGAGGTCACTGCTGTGCTGTTGTGCCTCAATTTGAAGTGTATTATGAACTTATTTTTATGATTTAAACCATTCATTTTGTAGAGTTTGTTGAATACTTCATGCTTACTAAAAATTATATTAATCGCATATCAATAACTATATGATTGGTAATCAAAAAAAATAAACAATAAGTTTTTCTTTTGAGAAATAACCTAAAAAATGTGCAATTCGATTATATACTTATTGATATCTGATTAATATGATTTTTGGTAGACATGAAGTATTTAACAAATCCTAAAAAGTGTACGGTTCGAATCATAAAAATAAGTTTATAATATACTTCAAATTGAGACACATCAATCACTCCTATGCCTTTAACACAGTAATAATCCGAATTCCTTAAATGACCAAAGTGAGTCCAAATTAAAACTCATAAAAATAGTATGAATAGACATAGAAAGATGAATTACAATGACTAAGATAAAAAGATATTTATATTCTGTAAGCGGTGGTGATGCCACCATAAGTGCAAGAGAGGTACGACCTCTCTACTTTATTGTAATGATATCAATGAAATGGGGATGGATATAAATTCCCATCTTCTTCCTTGACATTTCTAATGCCTCCCCATGGGTTATACTGGATTTTTATTTTTTTTAAAGGGGGGTTTGTGTTTTTGAGATATCTTGGGTTATCCTTTCTCTTGCTTCAAGATTTGATTCTACATAGTGGATGGGTGTTCTGTGGCGTTCTCCATTTTTTGTGTACAAGTTTTCATGGTAAAAACTAAGAACCCACTTCGAGTATCCAAATTTGCTATGAAATTTTTCCTTCCCTTTCTAGATTCTTATATGTGTATCCAAGATCTTGTGATGGTTCTTATTGATCGGTAAATTTCTGTATTTTTCTGAAAATCTTTGATTTGCCATTAAGAGCCTTGAACTTGTGGGCTCCCATGAGATGTTTGTATATGCTGGAGATGGTGTTTTTGTTCGAATATGGCCGGAGTTTTGGCTAACCGATCTTTATGTGCGCCTATCGTTGCTGCTGCTGAATTGCTAAGGAGCTGCTACAGTGTTGTTGAGAATATATTATTTTAATAATTTTTTGATTTTTTACGAAAAAATATATAAAAAATAAAAAGAATAATATGATAACTTATAATGACTTTTGACTTTTTTATTAAAATTAAAAGTTACCAAACAAGAAAAATTGTGAATTAGTAGCTATGAGTGTATCCCTTTTTAAAGGGTGTATGTATGTAATGAATTCATCGTAACATTTAATGTTTTAGTGTGAAATATATGACTTACATAAATAAAAAAAATAAAAAAGAAAATTTGGGATAGCTTTGAAATATTAATAATTGATATTCCTACTAAAATCATATCAAACTAACAATTGTATCTAAATTGATTGAATAAAATTATATGTATTAATTGATATACTAATTATTATATTAACGAATGATGTGATAAAATTTAAAGATTTTAAACCTTTATAATTTATGTAATGGATAAGTTTTTAATTTTAAAATAATAATTTCATAATATATATTAATAAACTTTCCACGCATAGGATTGTTGACTAGGAAATGACTAGTTACCTTTAGGGACATTATACCGATGTTGCCTCAAAAGTCTAAATTCAAGAGCTATAGCATACAAATCTCCTTTGTTGCGCCAATTCATTTTGTGATCAATATCAATGTGTATGCTCTCCAAAATTCTCTTTATTTCAGCCTCAAAGTGATGAGATACTCCAAGTCTTTGCAATGAATCTACCAACTCAAGTTTCTCCAATGGCTCCTCCAGCTTCTCTATCATCATTTTCACATCTTCCTTCAACTTAGCAGCCCATTTTTCATACGACTCTCCCTGCAGATATATATATATATAAAATATACTATTTTAAATTATCAACATTACAAGTGTAACCATAGTATATGTGTGAGAGAGGAATGTGGAAGAAATAAATATGTGTATTAATCTTTCATTGGTGAATTAAGTTAAATGAAATTATAAGTATGGTGAGATTGACGGATGCAATTACTAGTGTAAAGTATTAGATTACAGATGTAAAATAAATTATATTTATTTGTATACTATGTGTGATGATATTAATTGGTTGTGATTAAATTTATAAAATTATGTAAAAACCTTTATTATATAAAAGACGACTGTTATTTTTAGGGTAAATTATATTGGTAGTTCTTATATTTTACCCCTTATATTATTTTGGTCCCTACACTTTTAATTGGTTTATTTTTATTTTTATTTTTATTTTTATTTTTTGTTTTTGAGAAGAAAGAAACATATCATAGAAACAAGAAACATAATACAACTGGTAATGGTTAGCTCCTATTGGAGGCGAGCTTAGACCATCTCCAACGGTGAACCAAACCTGGCATCAAATTTAAAATTTGGTGAAAAAGTCACTTTTTTAAGCTCCAACGGTTTCACCAAATCGATATCAAATCCAGAATTCAGCAAAAATGGTACCAAACTGAGTGCAGGCGAAGCATTTCACCAAATCACTGTTCCTAACCGTTGGGATGAGACGAACGGGTCGACCATCCGGTTGACCAACCGGTTAACCAACCGGTCGCCCCGGAGAAAGTTCAGACCGTTCACAAAAAGGTTCAAACCAGTCAAAAAAAAAAAAAAAATAATTTTGCCTAGGTGGTCAACCAAAAAAAAATTAAAAAAAAAAGGTTCAAACAGGTAAAAAAAAAAAAAAAAATTTTTTTGCCGTTACCGGTTGACCGGCCACCCCCAAAAATTTAAAAAATTTAAAAAAAAAAAAGGTTAAAACCGGTAAAAAAAAAAAAAAAAAAAAATTTTTTTGCCGTTACCGGTTGACCGGCCAGTCAACCAACCGGTTGCCCAGCGCAAATTTGATGAAACGGATTTGATGTTGAACCGTTGGAGCGCGAAGTATCAAATTAAGGAAATGACCCCTTTTTGACGCAGATTTGGTGAAATATTTGGTACACCGTTGAAAATGCTCTTAGCAGCTACATGTGCTACTTCCACTGCCTTCCTAGAAGCCTTAGAAATACAAACATAATCAAACTTGTTGCAAAGAGCTCTAATATCAGATAATGGCAGTGTTTTGGGAAGAGTTTTTTTTTGTTTTTTTGTTTTTTTTGTTTTTGTTAGTTTTTTGTGAAAAGACAAAATAGGTTAAAAAAATAAAATAAAATAAATTTAGATAAAATATCACATCAAACTCATAATTATTTTGTTTTTTCTCTCACAAAAATAACATCCGACTATAAAAAAATCCAACTATTTTTCCAAGCACAAAAAATTTTTCCTCCAAAAAATAATCAAAAACTAAAAAAATCTACTAAAATAACAACTTCCAAACACCCACAATATAGGCATTGTTTCCAATCCTCCGTATTGTTCTGTCAGATAACATATCATAGTGTATTGGTTTAATTTTGACTTTTAATTTTAAATTTTGTTTTAATTTGGTTCAATTAATAATATCATTAATGTTTTTTAAGAAAAATTATCACTAAATTGGTTGAGGTTAACTAAATGAGTTGAGTAAGTTTAAAATTTTACTCTTAAAAATATGGCATGTGACACTTATGTACGTATTTTTCATTAAAAAACCAAATTTAGATAAAATTATAAATTTGTAGTCAAAATCGAGCCAATTGATAGTACATGGACTAAAATGACAAAAAAAATAAAGTATAAGGACTACCATCATAATTTACATTTATTTTTATAAAGTGAAAACAAAATAGTCTTTTCACATTAGCAATCAGAAATCTATCTACTTAACTCAACACATATGGGAAAATTATTAGGTACTCCCGGAGTACCACGTGATCATATATACTTTCTTATCAATCACCATTTATTATGTCCTCTCATATTTCTTAATTATCTGACACAAATAATTAATACCTCACATTCTTCACCAATTATACTATCATAAAGCATTACATGATCGTACTCGAACTACCAAATAATCACCGACAGATATGATTCATTAATTTTTTTTTAAAAAAGAAATTATATCATTCTATGTATTTTTTTAAAAAAAATTTAACGGTAAAATTTTAAAAATGTTGCTAATAATATACTTTTAGGAAAAAAATAATTTGGTGTTAAAAAATTTACTTTTTGAGGCAAAAAATCTAATCGCACATAGATATTAACTTATTATTAAGGGTTGGTTTGGGGTGTCCTAAAAAAGTACACTTTTTGTCTTTTTACGAAAAGATGTGCAGAAAAGTAGAGAGAAATTTTAAAAATGTTGCTAATAATATACTTTTAGGAAAAAAATAATTTGGTGTTAAAAAATTTACTTTTTGAGGCAAAAAATCTAATCGCACATAGATATTAACTCATTATTAAATATCCAATTTCATCTCTAAAATAGAATAATAATCAATGTGTTTAGTTTTAGTTTTCTGAATTTAATTTTCTCAAAACTGAGTTTTTTTATTTTTCGTGTTTTTTTTGTTTTTAGTAAATATTTTTTAAATTTTCAACATTTTTTTTTTTACTTTTTTAGATGTACCTTACTTAGATATATGTAAAAAGTAAATATTTGCGAAAAAATATTTTAAAAAATTAATAAATACACAAAAATATACTGAATTTTTGTATTTTTTTTTGTATTTTTGGTATTTGTGAATTTTTTAAACATTTTTTTTCACGAAAATTATATTTTTTAAGTGTATTTATGTTACGTGTGTCTAAAAATTAAAAAAAATTACTTAAAATATTTAAAAAATCAGTAAAAACAAAAAAATATAGAAAATAATAAAATAAAATTTTTTCAAAAGTGTTTTCAAAAAAACTGGAAACCAACATGGTGATTTTTGACAACTAAAATATTTCATACTTAAAAAGTAATTTTATTTTTAAATTTTTGTTTCTAAAACCTGAATTTGTTGTAATAACTTGTTAATATCAGTTTTTGTTTCCCAAAAATTGTAAAACACTTTAAAAAAATTATTAAATTCTATAAACGTAAAAGAAATAAAATTTATTTCATTTATTTTAAACAAATTTTCCTTTCCTTCCTTCCTCGCCCTTCCAGCCACCACCACCCACTATCTATCGCTATTGCCGCAGCTAATCCCACTGCCGCCACTCGCCACAAGCCATCAACTCTGGCTAATTCCCTTCACCTCCAACCCTTCACTTATTTTGAAAAATAAATTTTTAAAACACATTTATGAACCATATATATATTATCAAAAACAAATAAATTGTACGTACCGCGTAAGTGCTAGTGAGTGACTGTAGATAATCGTATTTCCAAACAGGAGGCTTGTAGTTTGCTGATCGCCTAACAATAGTTTGATCACCAGGTTGAGTCTTCTTCTTGGTAACACTACTATTACTAGTATTGGTAGTCATGCAATTGCAGTAGAACCAGAGAGTTTTTGAAACTTGGGTTTTACAGATTGATGGAGATTCCAATGAGAGTTGGCTTCTTTTATGCAATGGAAATCGGGAACTAGTCAAACTACAAACTGGGTTTGGAACAACAAGGTTCAAAGCCATGATTGTTTGATCTTTTTTCTTACTACACCTTGTGTTTGTTTTACCTAAACTGCCCAGTGGCTCTTCTTTATTTATAGGGAAAATTTTGAATTCAATTTTTTAAAAATTGCGTTTTTTTTGTTTTTGTTTTTGTTTTTTTTTTTTTGTATTTACAATGATTTTTTTTTACTATTTTATTTTTTTTACTTTTTAAATACACTTAATATAAATACAATTAAAAATATAATAAATACAAAAACTCAATATATTTTTGTATTCTTGTGCATTTATTGATTTTTTAAACTATTTTTTTTATAAATATTTTGCTTGTTAGGTACATTTAGGTTAGGTGCATCTAAAAAGAAGAAAAAATTGTTTAAATATAAAAACAAATCACTAAAAATATGAAAAATAAAAAGCTTAACTTAAAAAAAAAATTATGAAAATTGGAACCAAACAAGGTGGTATTTCTACAAAACATTTATAAATTTATAAAAAAAAAATTTAATTTTAATTATTAAAATTGATAAACTTTTTCACTGATTTATAAATTTTTTAAAAAACTTACACTAAAATGCAAATTTTCCTTATTTATAGCATTAGTTAAGAAGTAGTTAAAATAACCACTGTGTGGTTGGCTTAGTAGGTGACGACTAGAGCTTGGAAGTTTGCTCCCTTCCAGGTCTCAGGTTTGAATCCCCTATAACCAACAAATGCAAACCTTGGGGCCACGGTCCATAGGGCAAGAGCCCTATTTCGGAAGGTTTGTTCGGATTGTAAAGACTTAGTCTGGTGCTCATAACTTAACCCAAAATACCTTACATAACCCGAAAAAAAAAAAAAAAAAAAAGTAGCTAAAAGTGATTTTTGCTTTTGAAATATGTAAAACATGCATAAGTACTATAAATAGTTTACTAGCATTTTATAAGTCTGAATAACAGAGCGCGTAGCGCTTACATTATTGATTTGAAGAATAATTTTTATTTATTTATTTTGTCCTCTTTGTTGCACTCATTGTATAAATATTAATTTGGCAATCCAGCAACATCACTTGACAATATTTTTTATCAATCGCCAAATTACCATACTCTTTGTTATTTGCTAATGACCCAATACAAAAGTATCAACACTTTATCCATCAATCATAACACTTCTAAGGCATTATATGACCATATTTCAAGACCACCAAATAACTTGTTCTTTGTGGCATCCCATCATTAATAAAGTCGATAGCAAGACCCACCAAAAAATCTGTCACGCCCCAAACCTGCCCCTAAAAATTTGGGCATGTGCCCTACAGAAACTGACACTTAACTCAATGTACATAAAATATGGGACCTGAACGGAAGCATTAATATAAAAAAAAAAATGAACATAAAATAATATCCATTGAGCTACCACTAGTATGCCAGGATCACAGACATGCATGAGGTAAATGAACATACAGTGACATGCATCTGAGAACTTAGCTATGTACATACACATATACAGACTTAGCCCTCAAAATTGGGCATAGAACAAAACATTGAAGAATAAAATAGTTATATACGCTTTAATCACAGACAGACAATCGAGGTACAAAACCAAAAGCTTAGCAAACTTCATGAAATGAGCTGCCTTCATTTTAGTGCCTGGACACTCTGAGATTGACCAAAGAGTAATGGATGCTATGGGAAGGCTGACCTCCAGGTGGTGTGCCTACAAAAACAAACATAACATGAAGTGAGCCAAGCTCAGTGAATAGTAATACGTAAACCACTTAACAATTAACTTACATTACAATGTACATGTATAAGTGTAGAGAGCATATAGTTAACTTATCCTGTAATTATTTGCAGCATGGCCTTAGGCCTAAACTTTAAACAGAATGGCATAAAGCCCTTGTCAGAACGGCATAAAGCCCTTGTCAGAACGGCATGAAGCCCTTAACAGAACGGCATAAAGCCCTTTTCATGTAAGTATGAACTCAAGAGGTGGCTCGCAAGGTAGCACTTAGCTCCGCGCAGCACTTTGTTTCATAATAACAGATCATACAGAAGGGCCATAGGCCCAGATGTTATAAATTGGCCATAGGCCTCATAGATGTTACAGAACGGCCATAGGCCTCATAACTTTCACAGAACGGCCATAGGCCTCGTAACTTTCACATCGGCTTTAAGCCCAGTTCACATATGTATGGACTTAAGAGGTGGCTCGTACGGATTCTAGAGATGGCTCGCATTGCAACACTTAGTTCTGTATAACACTTTGTTCCATACCAGAAAATGTTAGGTCTTTAAGACCGAACAATTCATATCATATCACAGTATGAATGGAACGAATAAACAGAACAGAATAACCTCATGGTTTATTACAGGTTAACATAATCGTCTTATGTATATCAAAACGTTAACATAAAACACATATATTATTAGTCCCAGGGTATATAGGGGCACACAGATTCTTCCAATCATTCACATGAGTTAACATAGCTAGTTTGCGTTAAACAGAGCGTTAATAATAATTCGGAGATACATAATACCTTAATTTCATAATGCACATACATTCCATTTGCTTGTCATGACTCAATATTGCGAGTTAGCAGATAACAGAATGTTAACCTTAACGATCAATAGTAAACAACGTATGACCCAAGGACACGTTTAGATTTCCTCATGGTTCATTGTAAATCGGCATACTTGTCTTGCAATTAACAGAACATTATAGTAATGATAATCCAGAGGTAAAGGTACCATTACATGAGCCACGTAACAATGTTATTGACACTCAATTTCTTTCTATTAACCAACTTCACAGTGTTAATAGTTTGTATGCAATTCTTATACGGAATCATGGGTAATTTACAAGTTGGCGCATTTATAAGTTGGTACATTAACGATAATCATTAATCTTATCCGGAATACAGAGTAGGTTCAGAGTCGTACCGATGTACGCCAAAATCTTTCAATGTTCACACCGATTCCCAATCAACATAAAGCTAACATAACTACTTGTGAAGAGCAGAGCGTTAATAAAAAGAATTATTAACGGTAATCAAATGTGTGATTACAGTACGATTACTCACAGCATTATGATGACGTGCTAGTTCCTCCTGGAGTGTGTCCTACACGCATTCACAACTTGTAAATTAGTTCATTCCTCTTTGTTAAATCACTTCGTAATTCATTTCACTTCAAATGAATTTTGCACATATTAGTAGGCATAAAAAACAAATTCTAAAAATATCCGAGGGTCCAGCACGTAAAACGGAGCAAACCGTTTTTTCCAGCATGGGCCGCACGTGCTGTTGTGAGCCCCGTACGTGCAGCAAACTCTCCCGTACGTGCGGCAAAATCCTCCCGCACGTGCCTTTTAGACAGAACCAAAACTCCAAATTTCCCATTTCCCCCGCACGTGCGGCCGTGACTCCCACACGTGCGGCAGTTGTTCCCACACATGCGGCCATAACCCCCGCACGTACGGCGATTTCCCTGGGTGAGCAATCCAAATTTCATATAAAACCCATCTTTGGTGAGTATCAACAAGGCCTAAATTAAATCCTTTAATTACCAAAATATAACTTAAAGATCATACAATTAGAAAGCACAACATGTAACACTTAAGATGAATTAGATGTTTAATCCACCACCTAAGAACATGATTCACTTACTTTAACTTAGAACATCATATAAACAAAACTATATAAGTTTTACATGGGAAATCTACCAAGAAAAGATAGTTCTTTTATTTAAACATAATCAACTTAATTCTAGATCACTTCACAAAATAGAAACCAAGTTAAACAATGTTCATACACTAAATTCAATTCCATGCCCTAGGTTACACAATTGTGAAGAAATCTTACTCTAATTCTCCAAATATTTTATTGATCTTCAAGAGTAATTGTGAGTACAAAATCCATTTTTCTTTGTTTATATTTGATTCGTTATATATATTTATTTGTATTTATTTAATGTTGATTTGATTTTTGTATTGATATGAAGATGACAGATTTATTTTAATTATTTTGCACTACAACAAAAACATGCTTTAGTGGCACTACACTAGTGGCATATTTTTAGAAAATGTCACAAAAAATGATATTTAGTGGCACGTTTTTTAAAAATGCCACAAAACGACAAACATAAAAGGCTCTAGTGACATTTCAATGAACATGTGTCACAAAACTACAACAAAAACATACTTTAGTGGCACTACACTAGTGGCATATTTTTAGAAAATGCCACAAAAAATGATATCTAGTGGCACGTTTTTGAAAAATGTCACAAAACGACAAACATAAAAGGCTCTAGTGACATTTCAATGAACATGTGTCACAAAACTACAACAAAAACATACTTTAGTGGCACTACACTAGTGACATATTTTTAGAAAATGCCACAAAAAATGATATTTAGTGGCACATTTTTGAAAAATGCCACAAAACGATGCATTATTGCCGTTTCAGATCTCCATCTTTGTCGTCGTCTCGCTGGTGCATTGTCGGTGCTGAAGATTTGTCGTTCTCACCCTTGAGACACTAGGTAGGTGCAAATTACTTTTTATGGCACTTAGGTGAAAAGTGTCATAAACAAATATTTTATAGCATTTTGAGAAATGCCACTAAGCCAAAAACTTTCCAAGCTTATAATGACATTTTTGAAAAAATAAAAAATGCCAATATATTTTCTAAATTTTTAAAATGCAGTAAATGATTAAAAATAAATGAATTAAGCTCAATATACACTACAGGAAAAAGCACATTCGGCGATTAAATTTCCTGACCAAAAAAATTTGGTTGCTGAAAGTATAGCTTTCAGCGACCAAAACAGCATTAGTTGCCAAAAGTAAAGCTTTTTGGCGACTAAACAATTTTAGTAGCCAAAAGTCTACAATTGCCGACTAAAACTAAGTTTGGTTGCTGATTATATGGGTTTTAGTGACTAAAAAATTTTTAGTAGCCCAAAGTAAAGCTTTTTGGTGACTAAAAAAATTTAGTAGTCAAAAGTCTACAATTGGCGAATTTCCAATACAGGTGTGGACACTTCCGGCGGTGGATGGATTGATGAATTCCCAAA